GGGCTCCTCTTCACGCTGACCTCTGTCCAGCCTCCTGGAGCAAACAGGACAGGCTGGACTTGGCCACCAGGAGGGGACCTCCCGGGGGTGAACAGCCGGCCTGGAAGCATCTTTTGCCCTGACCTCTTTCAACATCAGATTTCTTCCCTAAGTGTGATGCTGAAGGGAGAGGCACGCAGAGAGCCAAGTCTGGAGTTGGGGCCGCGAGCGTGCAGGCGGCTGAGCTGCCCAGGCCCTCCTGGGGAAGGGGCCACGGCGCCCCTCGACACACATTTTCACTGCAGGAAAGTAATGAAATGAAAGCACCTCCCTAGGTCTGAGGGCCCAGAGGAACCCTTCAGGGGATGCCAAGTGGCCAGCGGCAAATCTAGCCCCCGCTTTCTCTTCTCGCACTCGAGACCATGTTCCCAGTGGGGCGGGGAAGCCCTGGGGGAGGCAGGTGTTCCTGGGCCAATGAAAACGGCTGGCCCGGGAGAGCGGAGGCAGCAGGTGGTCCAGCTGACCCCTGTGAAGCTGCTCTGCTCTCCACCCTGCCCCCTGCACTGCATATATCATCTCCCTCCAAAATAGCATCTCTGGAGGGGGCGAGTGGGGGAAGTTCTCAGTTCATCGTTCACTCCTTCCCACAGTGAGTTCACAGCTCTCTCGGCTGTCTCTCGCGACCTGGTTTCCCTGCCAGGCCCTTCTGCTCTGCCTCCACCCTCACCACCACACTCTGCAGGCCCTGGGACCCTCTGGCCGAGAGAGAGCCTCCCTCTCCTCGGCGGGCCCGTCTGCCCTCTTTGGGACAGAACAGACTTCAGTGAATGCAAACCGCAAACCGAGCACCCAGCGCGTGGGGGGCGCTCTGTGCCGTAGTCACTGGGGCCGGGAGAAAACTGTCGAAATTAAATAGTCCTGCTCCTTTTCTCTACGGATGTCACCTGCGGGAGCCTGACGCCCGGGAACTCCCTGCAAGGAGAGACAGGTGGACCAGAGGCTTCCCACACAGCCGGGGTTCCCTCACTCTCCACTCCATTACCCTGGGGCCAGGGCTGGACCCTGGTCCACCGCATGTTCTTCTAGAACCTGCTCAGCTCCCCTGCTGCAGTTTGGACCATTTCTCATGCAGAACATTCTTTGAGCAGCTCCCAGGTTGGCTATGGCGGCTCAGACCCTGCCAGGGGAAATGCCCCTTTTGACAGGGAAGCTGGGCACAAGTTGAAGAGAACAACTACCCAGCCTGGCAGCTCAGGGGTCTTCACAGCTTCAAGGGGTCCCCAGGAGGAGGGTTCCCAGAAGAGGGGGGGTGCACAAGGACAGGGGCAGGGCTGGAAGTGGGAAGCCCAGATGGGGTGTCTGCCCAATCCCAGGAGGGAGGGGCGGCAGTAGATGCATTTCCCCTGGCAGGGGCCAAGTGGGGGACTGGGAAGGGGCTGACCTCCTGACCCAGCACTTTGGGTGTGTGGAGGCAAGGAAAGAAAGCCTCAAAGTACCCCCAGGGAACCACCTGCCCCCCCTTGTTATTTCTAGCTCCAATTTCTTGGTCAAGAAGGGTGTCAGTGGTAATGCAAATTAGGAGGTGCTGGCCGACACCCATCCTGTCCCCCCCCCCCCCCCGCCAGCTCTCCCCTCCCTCCCCCCATGCCCACACTATACAGCCGACTGGAACATCTGTGAGGTGCGCCTGGTACCCTTGCCCTCAGCTGAGTTGGCACAGAGGGTGGGTGAAGCTGAGATTCTCAGGGGTTTCTGACTCGCCACACGGAGATGGCCTCCAACAGATGCCCAGTTCCTCCCCTCCCAGCCCCCTCTTGCCCATGACCCTGCCAGGCCTCCTGGGTTCATTAACATCCGCATATGACAGTCGATGGCCCCAACCAGAACCTTCTCTCCAGGCTGCTGATGGGAAGCACAGACCGGAGCCTTCTCGACAGCACCCTTATGGTCCCCTGGAGATGTCAGCTCTCAAAAGGCACTCGGGCAAACGGGGCACCACTCTGAGTGCCAGGAGTTAGGGCAAGGGCAGGGGCAGGGAGCTAGAGGATGGCGCACATTTTCCCCACAAGATTTGGTCTCTGTCTGCAGAGGCCTAGTTCCATCGCTTCCCAGCCAGAAGCCCCTCGCCCTTGCCGGTCCATCCTGTGTCTGAACCCAGCTCCTCCTGCAGCAGTCAAGGCGGCTCTGTTCTTGTCCTTGCTGAGCTAGTCTGCTCCCCCCTACCCTATAAAGATGTCACAGTGCATCCCCCAACCCTCCCCGCTCTTCATTAGTCTTAATCAGCGAGGTGAGGTGTTTCTCATTAGCACGGCTGACTCACCCACACACCCCTCCCCTTTGTTAGCGATAGCTTCTCCCCAAGATACACACACACACACACACACACACACACCCCAGGAGCTTAGGGAAGGAGCTGTTGCTCTCCTCAGCTGGCCACCTGACACCGCCTGCACAGGGACCCAGGAGAGGGACAGAGGCCTCCAATTCTGGGGAAATCCTGGGGGAAGAAAGTCGGGCTGCAGGGTCCCCCAAATATGAGGCGGGGAGGCCCAAAGGTTGTTGATGTTGAAGGAGAGATGGGAGCAGAGGAGAGCAGGCGAGGTTGGGCGGGCTCAGTGGGCACCTGGGGGGTGGTCCCTGGTGGCTCGGCCCCTGCCACACGCAGCCGTGTCTGTGCTAGCCCACCCGTGTCTTCTCCAGCCCCAGCGGGGTCTTCCCTCCACTGTGATCCTGTGACGTCACCTCCTCTCACCTTTCCAGGAGTCTAGAGGTCTAGAGCCTCTCACCCTCCACTCCCAGCCCTCAGCACCCCGCATTATTCCCACAGAATAGCAAGGGAGCCCGTGTCCTATATCTGATCACAGTCCTTGGGAGAAGAGGTTGACAGGCTCCTCAGTCCCATCTCCAGCACCCTCACCCAAACGTCCTCTCCTTTGGAGGTGCTGGGAGGCAGTAAATGTAAGGCTGTGGTCCTGGGGGCCTGGGCGAGGGCACACAGATTCCCCCACCCCATTCCCTCTCAGCCCCCAGCAACTTCCACCCTGTACTGAGCCCTTTCCCAGTCCCCAGAAATCAAGGAGACCAGCTGCCAGAGACTGCACCCAATGTCCCCATGCCCCCTCAGCCTAGTGACAGGGAACTGTCCAAGTTATGGGAGACCTGGGTTCCCTCCCACCTTCAGACACGATCCAGGACCAGAAGAGGTTACCCAGTTAATGATGCTGCCTTGAGCACATTTCCACACACCCTCTGCCCCTTTTCTCAGTGAAAGGATTTCTCTCTGCACGGTGTCCCTGCACCATCCCATAGTCCACTCAAGTCCTTTAGGTGCCGTCTTCCTCCATGAAAATTAACCAAGGGGGAAAAGCACCAGGGGTACTGAGCACACATGTGCCAAAGTTTCCAGAACCTTCTTTTCCATGAAGGGAAATGACTGTCCCTTAGGAACGACTGTTCTTAGGCCTCCCTGGTGGCGCAGGGGTTAAGGGCAGCACTATCAAGCTATCAGCAGCCACTACAGGACAAGTTCGATTCCCCGGCCCGCCAGGGAGCAACCCACATGGCGCAGCAGATCTCTCCTGTCGTGCCCGCTGCTCCCCTCAGCAGTGTGTTTCAGTCAGTCTGCCTGTTCTGCTCCCCTCTCTCTCTGGTGACTCCTCTCACCACCCCACCTCTGGCCTACACCCCAGTTCTTGTATGCATAAATAAATAAATCTTAAAAAAGAAAAAAGGAATGACTGTTCTCACTTTACCTGGCACTCAGAACTTGGTGGCACATGGACTGAAGGTTGGATGGACTTTGAGAGCTCAATAGTGACTGCTAACTGCAAGAGAGGAGCAGAAGAGGCTGCGGAGTCTCCCACCAGGTCTGGAACTTGGTGCTAAATGGGGGAGGATGCCCCGGTGGCGCAGCGGTTGAGCGCTGGGTTGCAAAAAAAGCTGCCCGCAGCCTCTGCAGCGCCAGTTCGATCCCCAGCTACTCCCTGGCCACCGGAGGAGGGTCCCACATGGCGCTCAGACCTCTCCTGCCGCCCACTGCTCCCCCCAGCAGTGTACTTCGGTCCTTCTGCCTGCTCTGCTCCCCGCTCTGGCTCTGGTGAATTCTCTCACCCTCCCGCGCTTCTGACTGTACCCAGTACTTGTATAAATAAATAAATAAATCTTCAAATCCTTTAAATAAATAAATAAATAAATAAATGGGGGAGGATGCCTGCCTGGTGTCTGCTGCTAAACCTTAGGCCTTCAATGAGCTACTGCCCACACCTTTGGCTGTTATGTTCAGTCCATGTGCCACCAAGTTCTGAGTGCCAGGTAAAGTGAGAACAGTCATTCCTTTTTTTTTTTTAAGATTTATATATTTATGCATAAAGAACTGGGGTATAGGCCAGAGGTTGGGTGGTGGCTGTTATGAGAAGTCTGGGCCCAGAAGGGTCACATGGAAATGAAAGGCACCCAGAGGTGCTGAATAAGTTGCTCAGGTCTTTTTTTTTTTTTGCAGACAGAAGGCACAGCCAGGCTGGGGCAGAAGTCACGGGTTCATGACCTGGCTCTCACCTCCCTGGCTGTGGGGCTTTCAAGGCTGCTGCTGGGCCTAGAGCCCAGCCCCTCCTCTGCTCTTAGACCCATGAGGACATGGAACAAGGATGTTCCTCCCCTTTGAGGCCCCAGCCTGGTTTCTGGCATGCAGAAATCACATGATATTGAAGTAGCTGCTACTGATGGTTGAATCCCCAAGGCTTCGGAGCCTCTACCTGCCAGACCCCATGGTAGGGAAAATGCAGGGCTGGGGTGGCTGCTTTTGCACAGAAGACACGCTCTGCTGCACCACAAGTTCTATGTCAACTCCCTGTCACAAGTTATCTACCGCCACTTATGTGCCTGTGTCTGCAGAATCACCTTTGAATGGGGTGCCCCATGCATCCCCTTCTTGTTCAGTGGCCCCCTCCCAGGACTGTGCCTTCTTGAGACAGTTCCCAAGCCACCCTGCTCCCTCTCCCACCCCAGCCATGGAGGGTGCAGACTGAGTGCAGATGGAACAGGTACGTTTTATTTGGACTTTCAACTTGTTCAGAGAGCTCAGGGGCCCCCACCTCCCCTCTCTAGTTCCCCCCTTCCTCATTTCCCTTTCCAGGGGGAACACTCAAGGTACAATGCCATGTGTCTCTGGAGTCCTTGGCCCCTTCCCCGCCTGACACACCCCTCCTCTCCCCTGCACTGAGGAGGAGGAGAGGGATGTGAGAAGTGGGGGGCCTGGAAGAGTTGGATCAGAATGGTACATGCACTGACAGTAGCATCCACTGCCAGCCGCCTGGGGCTGAGACCCGGGAGAGGCTGGCAGTGGAGAGGGTTGGATTCATCGTGGGGCGGCAGGCTCTTGCCGCAGGAAGCTCCCCACCTCAGCCCTAGGGACCCCCTGGCCTCCTGCTTACCCGTCCTTCTGAGGGTATGACTCTGAGGTAGATTTCACAGAGGGAATGTGGGTCGCTGGGGGTGTAGGGAGGGGGTTAGCTCTTTTGAAGTTGATCTCCACAGCACCCTGGGCCCGTCTCAGGTTCTGGCTTGGGAGGCAGGGCTGATGACACCCACCCACTAAGAGAGGCTGAGTCGCACACAGGCTGCGGGGCGCCCGCGGTGTCAGGGCTCGTGTGGGGTAAGGGCGGAGGGGAGGATCTGCCTTAACAAGCTGAGACTCGTGCCAAGGGCTCCAGGAGGAGGGCCGGGGGCCTGGAAGGTTGGCACGGAGAGTCCCCTGACCTGAGGGTCATGGCACCAGGCCCTCAGGGCAGCCTCCTTAGGCTGAATCTTCCCAGCCCTCCAAGGTCCTCCTCTCCTCTCCCACCCACCCTACTCCCCAGGATAGGCAGAAGAGAAGAAGGTCGGCCTGCAGGGAACGACAAGAAACAAGATGCCTCCTTCCCCCAGTGGGGAGACCTACGCCACAAGGCCCGAGCTGGTCATGGATGGAAGAACTGGCATCAGTGTGCAGGGCAGGCTCTGGGACCCACAGGGAGGCGCTCCCCGGACAGAGCACAGCCTGAGAAAGATGGACATCTGGGGAGAGGCTGGGAGCTCCTGGAGTCCACAGTTACCCTCCCCCTCCCTCAGGTTCAAGCACTAAACCTGGGGCCCACCCTGTGTGAGAACAGAAAGGCAGAGGGGAGGCCAGGTGGGCATGCCCCTTCCCACCACAGCCCAGATCTCCGCCTCCCCAGCAGAAGCCAGGGAGCTGGCGAGAGCCTCAGCTGACCTCCCGGGAAGAGCCAGGGCTGAGTGGTACCTGGGCCAGGGAAGACGGCACAAACGCTGACTTGGTAGCTAGTGGAGGTATCTGGGGGTCGCAAGGGGCGGGCCCCCCACGAGATTCATGCAGCATTCAAAGTGAATGAATGGGGGTGATGGGAGAGGATGAAGAAACAGCCAGTGGGTGGGGGAGGCACCCTAGATCTTGCTGTTCTCCAGGTGGGAGTCAATGTGTTTGATGAGGGCATCATCTGGGTACCCAACAGGGAAACCCAGCTGGCAGAGGGGGCAGCTGCGGATGTCAGAGCCCACTGTCTCCATCAGCAGCTGTGGGGGGGAGAGAGGGGAGTTATTTACGGTCCCAACCCCCACGTCCCAGCCTGTCCTTTCCCAGAGCCCAGGGCAGGGAGAGCTGCAAATGCAGAAAGGGTATGGACCCCTTCTCCAGCAGCTCCTTCTTCCCCTCCCTGCCCATCTCCCACCACCCCACCAAGGCAGGGCACAGGGTCCCCAAGAGATGCGCATGCTGAGCTACGAGGGAAATCAAAACCCAGACGTGCCCCCAGAGTGTCGAAGACACAACTCCCTGATAACTTAAAGCACTGGATATTCCCAAACAGTGTACAACCCCAGATACTTTTCTCTCTGGCTCTGGACTATATTTTGGTGCTTCCAGGTGGTGAAAGTGGCTCTGACATTTAGGAAATTCATTCTAATATCAGTGAAATGATAGAGCCCTGGAACAGGGCGTTTCCAGGACAGATAGAGAAACTGAGGCCCGACGAAGGGTCCTGCAGAGCAGGCCTGTGGTGCGGCCAGCCCACAAGGAGTGGCAGACAGCGTGGCCCCCACAGCCAACACAGCAGCAGGTGCTCACCACCCAGCCAGGCACCGAGCCCGCAGTTCTAGTTTCAGGCTGGCTGTCTCCCTCTTGAGAACCCTCTAAGGCAACTGTAAAGTATAATTATCCTGCAGATGAAACTGAGGATCAGCGAGGGTAAGTGGCTTGTCCGAGGTGCCCAGCTACCAAGTGGTGGCCTGCAGGATCCCAAGCCAAGGCCGGTAACAAAGGCACTGCACCAGCTTTAACAATGGTGGGGGGGACTCAGCTCCCGCCCACAGAAGGCACACACGGGAGAGAGGGGGTGACCCTGCGCTACACCCCAGGGAAGCGCAGTAAGGAGGCTCAACGGAGGGAGCCCCGCCCACCGGGCTGCAGGACCCGCGGGGGTGCCCAGAGCGGGCGCGGGGCCGGGCTGTCCACGGGGCGCCCCACTCACGTTGATGGACGGCCAGGACTGCGCGTGCTCCGCGTGGGCGTAGGCGGAGGCGGAGGGCGACTCGGGGATGGGGAAGCCGGCGCAGAAGGAGGCGCAGCGGATGGTGCCCGCCTCGGGGCTGGGCGGGCTGGCGGGCACGGCCCACTCCTCGTCCTCCGACGGCTGCTTCTCGAAGCGCAGCCGGAGGCCCTCGAAGGCACGCCGCGGGCTGAGGGGCCGGCCAGGCCCGTAGAGCTCCCCGCCGTAGGCCCGCGGCTTGGGGAGCGTGGCGGCCTCGGCCTGCAGCCAGGCCGGGGAGGCGCCCGCGTAGCCCGCGCCCTCGGCCATCTCGGAGTAGCTGCGGCGGCCCTGGAAGCCGGCCTTCGCGTGCTGGCTGGGCGGCTTGGCGTAGGCGCGCTCGGCCAGCGGCCTCTCCCCGGGCGGCAGGGCCGGGGGCGGCCGGGGCTGCGGGGCCGGGCAGGCGGGCGGCCCCGGGGAGCAGCGGCGCTGCGGGCTGGGGGACGGGCACGGCGGCGGCCCCGGCGAGCGGCGCTGCGGGACGGGGGACGCGCAGGAGGGCGAGGCCGGCGAGCGGCGCTGCTGGGGCGAAGGGCACGGGGGGCCGGGAGAGCGGCGCTGGGGGGCCGGGGACTGGCACGGGGGCGCCGCTCGGGCCGGCGGGGACGGGGAGGGGCACTGGGGGGCCGGGGAGGGGCGCTGCGGCAGCGGTGAGTGCCTCTGGCCTGGAAGAGAGGCGGGGCGGGGCGGGGCAGGGGGGGGAGAGGGGGCGTCAGAACTGGGGACCCCGGGGCTTGCCGAGACCCACTCTCCTCCGGACCCCAGTGAGAAAGGCGCCAGGAAGGGACCCCGGAGGGCGGCCCCTGGCCCCAGGTAGTTGCCACTACCACCCCGCCGCCCCCAGCCCCGTCTCACCGCCGCCCAGGGCCTGCTCCTGCAGCAGAGTCCTCAAGATCCGCCCCTGCAGGGAACTCAGCTCGCGAAGGCGCCCCAGCTCCTCGGTCAGCTCCGTGTAAGCCAGCGCCAAATTCACCCTGAAGAACACCCACGACCCCAAAGTCAGGGCTTGACCCCAGTCTGCCCTGATCCTGAGGTCAGAGGGCAGGGCGTGGGGAACATTAGATAGAAGTAGGGCTACTGGCACCGCTGTGGAGGATGCCCCAGTATCTGGCCCACAAGTCCCCTGCAGGCCCTCCTACTCCAACTGCAGATACCCTCTTGGCCTTCACCGTCCACCTCAAACGCCACCTCCTCCAGGGCGCCTCCCTCTCCTCCCTGTGAAACTTACCGGAGGCTAGGGCAGTGGCTGATTATGGGCTGGGGCTGGGGAGTCTTGTGATTCCAAGGGGATCCCTGAATCTATGTGTTCATGGTGCGTCCTGAACCCATCTCATACAGTTACATGTGGGATGCTTTGCTAATCCGTGCAGAAGCTAGGGTGGCCAATGAAACATGGACTCATCAAAAAACTGCACCGAGGGCCTCCCCGGTGGCGCAAGGGGTTAAACACAGCACTATGAAGCACTCCACAGCCTCTGCAGTGTGAGTTCAATCCCTGGCCAGCCAGGGAGCTACCCACATGGCACAGCAGACCTCTCCTGACTCACCCACTGCTCCCCTCAGCAGTGTATTTCAGTCACTCTGCCTGTTCTGTTCCCCACTCTGTCTCTGGTGAATCCTCTCACCCCTCCCCGCCCAACACACACCTCTGGCCTGTACCCCAGTTCTTGTATGCATAAATAAATAAATATTTAAAAAAAAACTGCACTAAATCCCTAGTACCTTTGGTCACTGAATTTCCTCCAAGAGCGCATACAAAAGCGTAAATACAACCTGTGTGTTGAGGGCACGAGGCCCATGAAAAGACCGGGGACCAAGCTGTGTAGTTTAGGAAGCGCCCCATCCAAATGTGAAGACACTGCCTCCTGGTTTGGCAGAGGTGTCAACTGATAAACCTGAACCCAAGTCCGCTGGGTTCAAGTCCACTGCTCTTGCTTCGATCTCAAAAGCTGCCCGGAAGCTCCTTCCAGCTTTTGCCCCTTGTGTCTATCTCTGTGAACGGCAGCTGTGCACCGCACACCTTGAGGGCGCGCCACTCACAAAAGCGGCTGTTCCGTAACGCCACTGGGAGGGACACAGAGGTGGTCATTCCTTCTCTGTGTTTATTTTCCAGTGCCTGCTCCAGGGTCTGAGGCCCAGTAGATGTTCAGGCAGTGAATAATGAAACAGCTTCTCTACCCATTTTTCTTTCTTCTTCCCTTACTTCCTCCCCACTTCCTGCTTCAGCCTCCTAGACAGGCACCCTCATAAAGCTGGAACAGACCGAACGCAGCAAAGACGTCCCCCACTTCCTTTATTCTTCCTTTCTCTTTGGGCCATTCTGACCCAGAGCCACGGATGTTATCGCTCCTCAGCACTGCCCCCCGCTGTTGCCCTTCCAGACCATACATGTGGCTCTCCCATGGCCTTGGGTCATGGCCTTCATCTCTGCTCTGGGTCTGGACAGAACCTGGGAGGCAAGGATTTGGGTTTCCTCAGAGTTTCCTCCTCCACAGTTCCAGAAGGGACTCCAGATCTATGGAAGCTGGAGCTGGAGGGACGTGGGAGACAGAGGCTAAGCTGCCTCAGATGATATGACAGAGAGGCCCTGAGCCCCAGTTGCTGTAGGGCCCAGAGCAGGATGAGAGGTTGAGGGGAGGGTGTCCAGGCCCTAAGGGCCTGGTCCCCATCCCATGGTATTGGACATGTGGAATGTGGAAGGGTATATATGTGGATGGCAGGGAGTGAAGGTATGGGGTTGGGCTGAATATGAGGAATGGTGTGTGAATATGTGTGTGTGTGTGTGTGTGTGTGTGTGTGTGTGTGTGTGTGGCCCCAGAGGAGAGGAGGGGAAGTAGTGAGGTTAGGGCTTCAGAGGGCAGGAAAAGCCGAGGTGTAGAGGGTAGATACTGCCTGAGCTCCGCTCTTGCTCACTGGCTGGCCCTCTCTTACTGATCCTCGGGCAGAGCTGGGCTGGGCGGTGGGGGAGACAAGGCCCTTCCCACAACAAAACCATGGTTAACCCATTTGGACCAAAGGCAGTTACTGCAAACAGGTGGGAACTCTGGAGGGAGGGTGCTCACTCCCCACACTGGTGGAAGGAGTCCTTTCGGGAACTCTTGTTGAGACTCTGCAGCCCTTATGCTTGCTGTGCCCTGTGTTCCCCCACCTCATCTCAAGCGCCTGCGGGGAGAAATGGCATCTCCCCCTTGGACTGGGAGTTCTAGTCTGCATATCCCATGTTAAGTTGGGGATTCCCCAAGGGAAAGCTCCTCCTTCAGACCAGGGCAATCTGGAGGAGCCATGTCTTCCCCATCAGACTGGGGCTTTCGGAAGGTAGTGCAGCACCTCCGCAGTGGGGCCGGAGGGGCCTCTGGGCAGGACAGGAGGGACCATCCTCCCCTGATCAAGCAGTCTGATTCTCTTCCCAGCGCCTTCCTTGCTGAATCTCAGGTGACGCATACACTCCGCTGCAGAAATCTCACCTGCCACATCAGTTCCCAGGTCCCATCTCTCCTCTCCCCTGCCTGCCTTCCTCTCCTTGTCAGGAGCTATCCCAGTTTCTACTGCCAAGCTTCTGGCACCTCTCACAGTAAAACAGACAGGGAAGCAGGAAATGGAAGGAAGACAGCCCAGCACAGAATGCCCAGCGTAGACCCAGGAGCCGGGGACAAGCAGGTCTGTCCTGCTAGAAGGCAGACAGTCCTACAAAGACCTCTCAGCCCCTAGGGAAGGGGCTGGGGCCTGAAGACCCCATGCTGATGGCCCTTAAGGACCTCCCCGTCATCAAGCCACCTCAAGATGCACAGGCCCAGGCTGCAAAATACGCTAGAGACCTGAATGACTCACATTAGGAAACACACTGCCAATTCAGTGGAAAAAAATCTCAACTTGACAACACAATCAAGAATTGCACACGTGCACCTAAATACACACTCCATTTCCTGGCTTCCTGACCCACACCTGAGCGCTATTTTCCACCATCACGACTGTTTGGGAAGGATGGGTCGGGTGAACGGCAGCAGGTGGTTACATTTGTGTGCTTCCTTATTGCTTAAATGATGGGGGAAATTCTGAGTCTCTCAGAACCTGGGGAGGGACCCAGGGAGAAAAGAATCATGGCTCATGTATATGAGCACCTATGGCCCAGGATTCGTGCTAAGAACTTTACTTCATCTTCACACCAACCCTACCATGATGCTGCCACTATAATTATCCCCATTTTACAGATGAAATGACTGAGCCACACAGGGGTTAAGACACTGGACCAAAGTCACAAAGCCTAGCAATTAGTGGAGCCGCTCGAATGGAAGCTCTGGACTTCTGGACTCCAAAGTCTAGGCTACTGACCACTATGCTGTAAACCGCCTTCCAAAAAGATCAGGAATGAGGAGTGGGGAGGTTGGAAGGCAGAAGACAGGAAAGACCAGGAGGAAGAAGTTGGGGACCTGGGGAAGGGGCCTGGGAGCCCTGCCTAGAAGAGGAGAGAAAGGTGCTAGACACACGTGGAAGTGGAAGAGCAGAGCTGTGAAGAGCTGGCTCCAGGTCACGGAGCAGCGGTGGCACAGAGCAGGGATCAAACTTGATCTTGGCACCTCAACCTGCTGAGCTGGCACCTTCGCAGGAGCCAAAGTGCAAATGGCAGAGCTGGCACTGCTAATCTTTCCGTCCTGCATCGATTTATCTTTTCACTCATTCTTTCCACGAATAACTCAGGGATCTCAAAAATTCATCTGGAGATAATCACCTTCATTGTTATTGACACAGCAACTAAAGCAGAGATGACAAGGGTTAGAGACCCATGTGTCCTCCACTGGCAAAGGCCTCTTTCTGCTCCAAAACAGCTGGGAGGCATGTGGGTTTCCAAGGACAGTGTCTTCTCCAGGGAAGTTCACTGGCGTCCCGAGTTGCAGTGGAGCTGGGCGGAGGATGCATGGGGTGGGAATTCAGGCCAGTGTGGGGTCAAGGGATTAGAACTGGGGATGGCCTTGAGGTCAGCTGAGCTCAGGAGTCAGATCAGGGCTGGGGTAAGAGTCATGGATGGACCAGTTTTGAGGTTAGGATGGGGGTCAGGATTAGAGCTGGTCACGTGGTCAGAATCACTGGGCTGAATCAGAAGGGGGAGGAAACAGAACCCCAGCATTCCTAGCCCTTGCATCCCTTAACAGCCCCCTGCCACCTCACCCCTGGGAGGAAATCAGGGACCAAATTTTCCACCACCCACAGGCACACCCAGCACCAGCCTTCCCTCCCGACCCTGGGGAGGGACCGCAGGCACCGGCGTGGAGCAGAGCGGACTTGAGGTTGCGGGTCAGGGTGGGAGGGGGGAGGAGGAAGTCAGTGTGCAGCAACCCAGCGCTCCACCACTTCCTCTCAGACGCCTTAAGCCCCTTCACTCTCCTCGACCAGCTATGACTTGCGGTCCCCAGAGCCCAGCTCTTCGTGGCAGCCCCTGCCACGCTTCCAGCACAACCAGATGTTCACTGTGTCTAGAAAGCCTCCCGAGGCCGCAGGAGCAGGGCTCACAGTGAGGCCGTGACACCCCATTCTCCAGGGACCGTCCTGGTTCACACCAGCTGCCCCCGCATAATTATTAATAGTGCCCCCTTTCACTTTCAAAAGTGATCGAGTTTGGTCAACAAATCACCTGGTGGGCCCTCATCTCAGGGCCTCCTACCTGAGGAAGAGCCTGAAAGAGAAAAACACAGCAGAGGTGCTGCTGCCCCACCGCTCGGGACTTGGCGGTATTTGCACTTGAACTTCTCTAGCTACTTCTCTGCACCGCAGTTTGCTAAGCTGTAAAAGGAAATAATTCCTTAATCACATGCTTCGTGAGAATTCAATAAGGTGCAGGTGCACCTCACCTAGGAGACAGGTGGAGAAGGGGGAAGCCAGTTTGGGTGCTTTTTTGGAGCCACAGGCACAGGCCCAGGGACTGATTTAAGAGCATGGGAGGAGGGGCAGCTCAGGCAAGGGTGCATGGGGCAGCCACTCCGCGCTGCTGGCAAAGCCCAGCAACCCCTCAGACTGCAATTAGGAGGGAGCAATGACCCTCAACTAATTGGGGAGCCCCCAAAGCTGCAAGGTCTCAGGGGTTAATTCCTGTGAGCACTGGGTGCCCAGGCTGAAGGAGACTTGAAAGAAAGGAAGTCGAGAGGGCGAGAGGGCGAGAAGCGTGAAGGGGGGTGGGGGGGATCCTGGGCTCACTGGTTCTGGGGTGTTGAGGCTAGGCTCAGGGTACATGGGGGTCTCCGACTTCCGTCCTGACCCACCCCACACTGCCCTTGACCTCTGTGCAGAGTTTCCATCCTCTCTCTCTGAGTTCACACTTCTCCCCCACCACTAACCGCAGCCCACGCAGAGGCTTGTGGGTGGAGAGAGGGCTGTTGGGGTGGGGGGGCTGGGCGGAAGAGCCCAGGCTGCAACACTGAGCCCCCCACGTCGGGAAAAAAGAAGCCTATAGTTTTCCTCCTCATCACTCTTACTGTACCCCTGTCTTTTCACTGGGCCCCCTCACTGATGGACCACTCACGGATGAGTCCCTTCCCTTCCTGGGCCCTCTGTCCCCCCTCATTGCACCCCCTGGCCTCGCAAAGCCCTCAACCCCCTCATAGAGGCCCCCTCCAGAATTTACCCTTTACTTTCCACCACACCCTCAAAAAGACCGCACTCAAGAGCCCTGTGACTTTGGGCTAGTCCCAGTGGGGAGGGGGCTGTGGATTCTGCACCTCCCACCCTGGCTGGGACCCTCCTGGGGTCCCAGGGATCTTTACCTCCCTGTACAACCTCAGAAGCAAGTGGGATCCACTCCTGCATCCCCCCATTATTGTCTTTGGCCCCTGAGTGACCCAGAGCAGCTCTTCCTCTGGGGGACTTGTGGCCATCAGGTGCTCTTGTCCAGAGGTCAGACCTGGGTGGTGGCAGTCTGGTCTGGCCCCAGGGCCCCATTTCAGAGGAACGTTGATGACCAGTTTGTAGGCTGGGGGCAGGGATGGGAGGGATGGGAAACCTTGAAGCCAGGGCTACCTCCCAGGCCTGCCCCCTCAGCACAGACGGGACCAATGGAGGAATATTAATAGAGGCAGGAACTATATAAGAAAGGATATTTTAACCACCAGAACTCCTGAATTCTCGAAATAAAACTGGCTGTCCCGGAGACGTCTGACTGAGATGGGGAGCTCAGAACAGTCCACGCAGGAGCGAGCTTCTGTCTCCCCCTCTTCAGCTCACACATGTCCTGGGTCTTCCTCATCCCGATTACACCCCTCATGGATAACTCACAGCCTTCCTCTCCAGGGGGAGCCCGCAGGGAAAATCCCGCTAGCCCAGGAGTCAGGAGGGGTGGAAGGAGAGGAGGGGTTGGTAGAGGCAGTGCACTAACAGCAGGTGAGGGGTGCCCAGGTGGAGGGGAGTGAGAGGGGAGGGAGCACTCAGTGGTGACCGATTACCAAAAGGAGCTGAGTTTATAAGAAAATAAAACTACCAAAAAGGAGCTGAGTTTATAAGAAAATAAAACTACCGGGGGAGTGGGGACTTCCTTTGAGAATTAACTCTTGCCAGGCTGGGGCGATCCAGAGATGCCTGGCCTGAAGGAAGCATCAGGCCCCAGAGGCCTGGAGGTAGAGCCCCAACCACTGGACAGACCCCGGCTCCAGCTGGCCCCTGAGCAGAGCCCAGCTCCCACTGGCCAAAGGGACGGGTGGGACGGGCGCCTTGGGCTGGGAAGAGAAACCGGCTGTTCTGGTGAAAAGAACCAATACGATGAGCTGATCTCCAAAAGCACCTAATAGGAGGGGCTGTCACTGGCTCGTGTGCCGTCTACCGCTCCTTCTCTGACCTCCGCCTCTGTCATCTTCCTCCCATGTCCCTTAGTAATGACTGACCTCTGAGCCCATTAGGGAAACCAGGGGCCAGAGAGCAAAGACCAGGAAGGCTCCCTAGGATTTCAAGTCTGGCTGCTCGGACTCTAGCCCTACCACAAAAGTCTTCTCCGGAGACAACCCATCCAGGGAGCCTTCTGGTCTTCAAAGCAGGGCGTTGGACTCATAAAGGGGACTATGGTGTGATTTTGGGGCAAGCTAGGATTCTAGAACTTGTATGTATGTGTGTGTGTGAGAGAGAGTGTGTGTTGCAGGTTTGGGCACATGGGCTAGGATGTGCCCAGCCACAAGCTAGGGCGGACCCTCTCCACAGCGGGCCCCAACACCCTGAACAGCCTAGCTGTGGGGTCCCACCCAATAGCCCCATGAACTGAGTTCTCACCCCCCAGCTGTCACAGCTCCACCCAGGTCCTCACACCAGCATATGGAGAGAGATGAGGGGTATCCCTAACTGGCCAAAAGCTAGCAGGAAGGTGAGGAGTCATCTACTGGGAGAAGGACCCCTAGGGTCTCATGCTGTGTGATGAAAAGTTAGCTCCTGACTTCTCTGAGCCTTGGTCTTCCCCTCCACTGAAAGTAGGGAGTCTGTGCCTCAGGACTCACTTCAGGGGACAGAGCTTAGACGGAAGGAGGTTTGTGCTCTATTTCTCAGAAAGTGGAAGAGGATGAGTTGGGTGCGAATGTGAAAGGCACCAGGCTCACTGCTGCTAGGCTGCCACTCACCCTTTCCCTTGCTGCCCAGTCCTCCCCAGAGTCTCCCCACACTGACACTCCCCATTGACATAGCTCCTCCTTACTTCCTGCTGCCCCTCTTTCCTGGCAGGACTCCAAGGGACACCCCAGCAGAGTATGTGCCCGCTGCTGTATGACTGCAAGGAAGCCTCTCCTCTTCCAACCCTCAGCCTTCTCTCTCCTGACAGGAGGCACAACAAAGCCTGAAAGAGACCATCTCCTTTGCCCTCACTGGGGAGGGAGGAGGAACCCCACTGGCAAGGCCTTATTTCTTGGATAGAAAACTGGGCTCCAGAAAGGCCCCACAATTCACCAAGGACACAGGACGTAGCAGCAAAGATTCTGAGGAAGTTTCTCTAGATCCCTGAGACTCGAGAAGAAGTGGGCCACAGGGAAGCAAAGGGAAGGTACCAGAGCCGCACCCCCTTCCTGTGAAGGATGCAGGGCCACACAAGAAACAGCAAACACCTCACCCCTGACAGCTTGGCAGTGAGGTCACCCAAACAACACAAAGGGGGAGAAGTGAAGCAAAGGGGACCTGGGAGGTGCCCCCTGAAAGGAAAAGGTTAAGAGGGAGAGAATTACAGAGGTGACTTACTGATCATCCCCAACTCTTTTCACCCATGCCATGTCCCTCTCCGACTGATTGGAGGCCAGATCCTAAGGAGAAGAGAGAGAGAGCAGATGCCAACCTTCCTTTGCCCAGATGCCCCTCCTCTGCCATTCCCATTCAGTGACTAAGTCCTGGACCCCTAAAGGCAGCTTCCAGCAGCCCCCAAATCTCCACAGAGCTCTAGAGGTGCCAGAAGAAGGACCCAGGGCCCAGTACTCCTGACCATTTACCTGGGCCCGCGTCTCCTGTAGCTGTTTCAGCTCACCCTGCAGCCGCTCGCACTCAGCCTGGAGCTGTTCCTCCCGAAGTTGGGCCCCCCGGGCCTCTCCCTGGGCAGCCTCCAGAGCCTCCTCCAGCCGCCTGCGCTCCAGCTCACTCACACTCGGTGTGGGGCCTGGCCAGCCCGCTGGCAGGGAAGAGGGCAATATCAGGTTGGGTCCGCCAATTTCCAGATCAGCACAAAGTGAACCAGGTGAGGGCTTCAAGAGAGACAGAGAGCCCGGAATGAGAGATACCTCTACTGAGGGCACTGAGGAAGGAGCTTCCTTTTTCTAATCTTCCTGGAGCCCAGGGGAAAAAATAAGATGATTGGTTGTAGGCCTTCCCTGGCCAGACTCAAGTCTCCAAACATTCTTAGGGGCCTCCACTTCTCACAACCTTGGACAGGCAGGGGGACTCAGTGTGGGGGTGCCCTCTGCCGGCCCAAGCCTGAATTGCACAGGGGTAGCCTGGGAATGAGGTGAAGAGGGAGCTAGTGAGAGAAGGTGGGACAATAGTGGATGAGGGGAGGAAACAGTAAGGCGGGCTGGGGTAATTATGGGAGAAATTTAAGACATGATGGAGTGTTGACTGGGTCCGAGAAGCTGGAAGTGCCCAGTGGTATTGAAATGGGGTGAGGTTTGGGGACTTTGGGTAGAGAAATCAAGAGTCACAGATCTCACCGTGACTCAGGCCAGATCCCCCTCTCATTGCCAAGTAGTGCAGGTCCAGATCAGTACAGGGTGTGGCAGGGGCAGGTGGGGGGCTCAGGCTGGGGAAGGCTGCATCCCGGAGGCCTTGTTGCTGCTGCAGCTGCTGCTCCAAACCACAGATCTGCCGCAGGTGGGTCTCCACCAGGGCCCGCTGCAGGGGAGACAAAGGGTGAGGGTCTGCACAGGACCAGGTTGCCACTGTGGGCCTGCTGAACCCTGGGCATCCCCCTGTCTGGATCATTCTTTCCCATCCCGCCCCCCGCCCCTCACCAGAGCAGCGTCTCGGGTCACACATCCCAGCTCCACTCTCCAAGTGGCCCTGAGTGTGAGGTCTCCCTCCCAGCAACTGCAATGCAGATGTTTCTGGCTATTGCCCCTTGCAAGGTGAGAGTTAATGCCTCTTCCCTATCACTAACACACAGGGACACTCACAAACACGCTCAGCCCCCTGTCCAGACACTGCCACCCCTCAGGAGCATCATAAGATCCATTTGTATATGTGACTTAACCACTTCATACGCCTCATCTATGGCACAGGGATAACCACACCTCCCTCCTAGGGCTGTCATGAGGATTAAAATGAGTAAATAGAGGTGAAGAGATAAGAACAGTGCCTGACACATAGTAAGTGCCACATTTATGATTACCAAGGCAAAGCATTTTTACACAAATGCCCCTTTGCCCTACAACAACTCAGCAAGGCTATTTGCTCCACTTTTCAGATAAGGGACAGAGGCTTAGTGACTTGACCCAGGTCACAGCCAGAACTCGGCGGAGACAATGTCTCCTGATTCTGATGCCGGCCACCAACTCACATGCATGGCCACCCCCAGACTCAGCGTCACACACCAAGACCCACCCAGCAACCAGGTGACCTCCGCCCTCACCTACAGACTTCCAAGTGCAGTGCTTTAGGCACAGGGTCGCCCTGGGTCGACAACATCCCACAGGATCACTCACATAGTCATCTCTCGTCACTGCATGACCAGATGTGAACACACAACCTGCATGACACACACAGTCCCCCAATACAAGTCCACTCACCGACACACAGAGGGTCACACTATCACACAGGTAGAATCACACCCCCAGCACCTCCAGCTCCCTGGGCCTCACCATCTCCCCCAGCTCTGTTTCCAGGTCGCTCTTCTCCACACAGAGTTTCTCATAAGCCTGGATCATCTCCCCGAGCTGCTCTTCTTGCTCCTTATTCTTCTGCAACTGAATGGGGTGCAAGGGGATGGGGTTTACTCCACAGTCACTTGGGGGCTAAGCAGCTCCCTCTGCCTCCCACCCCCACTCCCAGCACCCAAAGGAGCAGCAAAAGCAACTGCAGTCACGTCTCAGGAGGACCACAGCCATCCCAGATCGAGTGGACAAAAAGACAGGAGTGTGTGCGGTGGGGGGGGGGGGCGCTGTTAAAAATGGGGGGGGATCAAAAATAGATTGGAACAAGGAGCTCAGGGAGCATGGCCTGGGCTGGAAGGCTTGATAGGGGCTCACCTCATGCTGGAACTGGTTGAGGCGCTGCTGCAGGCTGACCTTCTCCACCTCCAGCAGGGAGCCATCCTTGATTTCATACAGGGAGAAGCCATGCTCCTCTCCAAAGTCATTGATCAACGGGTACTGTAGGGGGAGGGGGCAGGCCCTCCTCAGGAAAGCTCCCTGCTGAGCTTCAGCCTTACTGTCTTCCCCCACTCTCCTGCAGGATCTGTGCTTCCCAGTTCCCATGGGTATCTCCCACCAACCAGATGTCTTTGGGATCCAAGGTCCCATCACTGTAAAGTGGATCCCTTCCACTCCCTTCCTATAGGGCCACATCCCTCACGCAGGTCATTCACGTTCCCAAAAGTCTGACCCCTCTTTGGGTCCCTGGGATCGCTACTGGCTGTCAAATTTCTGCCATACCCCCCAACACACTCACACAGACCCGTCATCTCGTCATCTTGAGGTTCTGACCTTGATCTCATAGACTTTGAGGCGTCTGCGCAGGGTGGCGTTCTCCCTCTCCAGGCCCCCCAGCCGCTCCTTAATGTCACCATAGGCTGTGATGAGGGCAAAGTGGGAGGCAGAGCACATGTCCCCCCCCAGCGAGGGATCTTCTGGGGCGTCCAGCCACACCTCGCTGGGCCCCAGGGCCTCCTGGGTCAGGATGCTGATGTCATCTTCAAACATGGACTCCATGGCAAAGGCCTGGGCCACGGACCCCCCTGGGCCTCCTGGGAGAGCAGGAGCGATGGTGGGGAGGCCAGCCTGGAGCTCAATCCTGACACCTCCCTTCCCTGCACCCTCACATGCAGCCCGGAAGCTCACTGCCCGGCTCCCACAGGCCCCTCTCAGATTACTAAACCCCATCATCTCTGCTGCCTTTAGGGAAGGGGCCGAGACTAGGTGAGGACTGGAGAGTGGGGGTGACAAGTAGGAAAAAGTGAGCCAGGCCCGAAACCGGGAGAGGCTCCTTCCAGAACCCAGGAGGACCTGTGGACAGGAGAGGACTGTCTTCCCAGCACTGGTGGCCCGGAGGGGCCTTGCCTTGGCTCACTCCTCAGCCACTTTTCCACTCACCCCCCATCCCAAGCCCTACTTCCCCCAATACCTCTCTGCTAGGCTCCTCATCTCAGGCCTCTGGCCCCCCAGCTCTTCCCTAAAGAAGGCCCAGAGCTTCTGGGAGGGTCAGCCCCACTCTGTCAGCACAGCACATCCTCTGAGGCCCCCGCCCAACTTCCCAACTTCCTCCTGCAGGATCCCAGAGTTCAGGAAGAGGAAGTGCCTCCCCAGCGCACAAAGGGCTGTGGCAACCCTCCAGGCCCCCTACACCCCCTGACCTGGGACCTACAGGAAGTCCTTGGCTCGGTGTCAGAGGGAGCACAGAAGGGAAGGGGCTGGGGCTCAGCGGGAGGCCACCAGAGAAAAGCCAGCCCGGCCCGGTGTGTCTGCACACAGGGAAATGGGGAGCCCTGGGAGGGGGCAGGAATGACTCAGGGCTCCCGAAGGAGTAGGCGAGGGGAGGGGGTGCGTGTGTACTTCTGGCCCTGTTTATGAATGTGTGTCTGCGGCTGCCGCGTGTGGGGTGTGTGTCTGTGAATGAGTGTAGGTGTGCCACAGTCAATGAGTGCCTCTGCGGGGCTGCGACAGGGCCCGGGGGCTGGAGTTGGGAAGTGGCCCGAGGCCCTGTGTTTGTGTGTGCGCGCGTGTGTGCACGCGTGCGTGAGCGTGTGGGAAGGGTGGGCACGTTCGGGGCCGAGTGTCACGTGAGGCACTATGGGAATGTCCGAGGTGTGTGCGCGCGCGGGAGCGTGTGTGCGCTCCGGAGAGGGGGCTCGGCGCGCGGCGCGAGTTGAGACAGTGGGGTGTGCCGCCCGCCCCGGCCCCGCGCGCGGGCCCGCGGGGGAGGGCGCAGGCCCCGCTCCCGGATGGGCCCCCCGGCAGCCCCCTGCGCCCGCCCCGCTAAGCGCCGGGGCGGCGAGTGTGTCCGGGTCCGAGTAAAGAGCGTGTGCGCGTGTTTGTAGGGCCGGCCCCACCTTTAACCGTTTCCTCCCCGGGCCCAAGCCCCCCATCCAACTCCGCTCGCCAGCGCTCCCCGCGCGCGCGCCCCGGACCCCCGTCCGCCACCTCGGACCCAGCCCCACCAGCGGGGGCTCCTGTCCCCGGGCCCCCGGCCAGGGCGCTGCCTTCCCCTGCATTCTCCCCACGGCCCAGCGGCTCCGGGGAGCCGGGCAAGGCGCGTGGGGAGGGGGTGCCTGGTCGGCCCGGGGCCCCTTCTGCGGCCCCTTTAAGAGCCGCCCTTTAAACCCCATTAGCTCGGCCGACAGAAATTGTCGCCCCTCCCCTCTCGGGGGCCGAGACCACGCAGCCCCCTCCCCCACCGCCGCGCGCCCCGCGCCCCCCGGCCGCCGGCCCCGGGCCGGGAAGGGGCTCTGGAGGCGGCGCGGCCTGAGGCGCGCGGGAGAGGGGGCAAGGGGGGAATTCGGGCGGCCGGCGCCGGACCCTCCCCTGCCGGCCACCCCGGGCCGGCCGCGGGCCGCCTCCCGCCCCCTCCTCCCGGCCCCCCGCGACCCCGGGGGCCCGCCCCGGGCGCCGCTCCCCTCCCCCGCCCCCGCCCCAGCCGGGGACTCACGGCTGCTGCCGGCTCCTGCTCGCGGTCGCGGCTGGCCCCCTCCGCCTCTCCCTCCCGGCCGGGCACCGGCGCCCCCACCCCCCTGGCACCGCGCTCCGCTCGCGCCCTGTCGCCGCCGCCGGGTCTCTCCCCACCCCCCTCCCCTGCCCCCTCCCTCCCTCCCGCCCGCCCCGCTCCTCCTCCGCCGCCGCCTCCTCCCGGCCGCTCCGGGCCTCTCCGGCCGGGCGGGCGCCCCGGACCCCGCGGCCGCCGCCACCACGTGGCGAGGGGCGGGCGGCCCCCGCGGCGCCACCGGCCTGGCGGCGCGCCCGACGCCCACCGGCTCCCCGCGGCGCCCGCCGGCTCGCGCCCCCGCCCCCGCCTCCCGGGCGCAGGGCGGCGGGTGCCGGGGCGTCTGCGGACAGGGCGAGGGCTCGGGTGGCGCTTGAGTTTTTGGTTTGGGCTGAATATTTGGGGGTGGGGGTGGTACGGCTGGCCATTTGGAATTTTTTGGTCTTTGCTCTTCTGAGAAGGAAAATATTAGACCGACTCGTCTTGGCTCTGGGGGGAAGGAGCCTTGCTCTGGAAATTAACGCAAAGGGGCCGGTCGGGGAGATGGGAGTTAGATCAGCAACTTCTTCTTCGGAAGTGAGAGTGAACGGAGGCCAAAGGTTCATTTAAGAGGGAGGAAAGCTGTCCCTCCTCAGCCCCCTCCTCCAAACACACAGAAGCGCCCAGGAGCCCGTGAAATAAAGAAACAGATTTCACCCTTTTCACAAAGACTAGTTAAGCACCTGCCCAACTGCTAGACAGGAGACAAGTTTGTTGACACTTTCCCGCTGTGTGACCTTGGGTACGTTACTGAACTTCTCTGGGTTAACATTCTCAGGCACCACGCAAGAACAGGGACTGGAACTAGAGGGGCTCTGTGCATCCGCAAGAGGTGTTAATGAGTCATTTTGATTATTCCCTGGTGGATTAAAAAACGTGGGCAGAGGCATGGTCAGCCTGGCAGCTGAGAGAGAACCATCAGGCGAAAGCATGGTTCACCCCTAACAAATCTTTGAAGGGGATGTTTTGGTAGCTGTTATGTTTCCCATCTGGAGGGTTAGGAGGGTTCAGGCTGCTGGGGCCTAAGGCCACCTTTCTGGCTCCTGGTGTGGAGGGTGCATCTGTGAGGATATAGAGGAGGGAAGAAAGGGTTTCTTGCTGTTAGCTTTGAGAATCAGTAGCAGCTACCACCATCTTATCCTACTGCAGGGAGAAGACTGGACTGAGGGATGAACTCCCAGGACAGCGAGTGGGGGCTTTCTCCTCAAAGGGCATTACACCTACTTCCTTCCTCCTCCTCCACCTGGTTTCCTGTCCATACTTTCCTGCTAGTGCCCACTAGCTTTTTCTGAGCTGTGTGAAACAACCTACCTGCCCTAGAGATAGGAAGGCTACCCAGCTGGGAAACCATCATTCAGTTAATCCCAAGGGCAAGTGTTACTTTCCTTTAGGCTGTACAACTTCTCTTTTAAAGTAGCCCAGGTAAAGGAATGGAGCCTCTGAGGTTTCCATGTACATGGTGGCCTTGATCACCAACTAGACCTGTGAAACTGACTGGAAAGCCTTCCCTCACTGGAGATGGTAATGAGTCCCGGGCACCCTGTTAGAACAGGCTCTAAGGGATGAGTTGTCAGCCCCTGCTTCTAGGCTGCTCAGGGTACAGGCCTGAGTCACCCAGCAGGGCACAGCCAGTGATTTATTCTGGGTTCTAGGAGATTGGCAGAAAAAGCCCAGCAGAGATTAGGCCTGGTTTAGGTGCCTGCCCCCCAGCCGGAGCCTGATCTCATCAAATTCTGTTTCTGTTGCCCCTGTCAAACAGGCATTTCTGAGAACAGGAACTGTCGCATCTCATTTGTCTTCATATCCCCAGGTGCCCTGCTGGTACCTACTCACTAGATAGTTCTTTGGTAAAGATTTCTTGAACACTTATATACTGGATGCTGAGAATACTGATAAGCATGGCTCTGAAGGATAAATATCTCTCTCTTGCCCTCATACACCTTATTTTCTAGCAGAGGAATCAGACCAAAAAAATAATAGTAAATGAAACAATTATAAATTGTGGGCCTCCCCTGGTGGCGCAGCAGTTGAGCGCTGGGCTGCAAAGCCACTCGCAGCCTCTGAGCGCCGGTTCGATCCCCGGCCACCGGGTGAGGGTCCCACATGGGGCGCAGACCTCTCCTGCCGCCCGCTGCTCCCCTCAGCAGTGTATTTCGTCAGTCCGCCTGTTCTGCTCCCCAATCTGGCTCTGGTGAATTCTCTCACCCTCCCGCGCTTCTGACTGTACCAGTGCTTGTATAAATAAATAAATAAATCTTTAAAAAAATAAATTGTGAAATAGCATAAAAGACAAAAAGGGCAGCAATAGAGATGAATGGGAGTAAGTGGGATTTGCTTCAGAGAAAATCAGGAAGGTGACAATTAAACTAAACCACAAATGTTAAAGTATTCTTTGTTGAATGAATAAACAAAGCAGTATGATTTTGGAGTAAGCATGTCATCTCCTTTGTCTGTTTTCTCATCTGGAAAAGCCGGAAATTAGTCTGAATTCTTTCTAAAAACTCATGGTATTATCAAGGTTCATCATGATGAAGACAAGTGAAAGTAAAATCCAGGGGCATGGTGACAGGAGAGAGGTGGGAGAAGGCTATGTGTGTCAGGTAGTTGTATCTAAATGGTGCTCAAGGCTCAGAGAAGCAGCCTCCAATAGTCGCTGGCAGGAAGGACAGCACAAAAGCAAGGCCCTATTCCCCTCTTCATGTCTCCGCTTTGGAAACCCTAAGGAAGAGACTTCTCACTCCCAGGACTCTTGCTCTGGAGATTTTACTTTCCCGACCCATTCTTGTCTGAAGAGGAGGAGCCAGCAAAGAGACTGAATCAAAATAAAATCCAGGGCCTCCCCGGTGGCGCAGCGGTTGAGCGCCGGGTTGCGAAGCTGCCCGCAGCCTCTGTAGCGCCGGTTCGATCCCCGGCTGCTCCCCGGCCACCGGAGGAGGGTCCCACATGGCGCGCAGACCTCTCCTGCCACCCGCTGCTCCCCTCAGCAGTGTAATTCGGTCCTTCTGCCTGCTCTGCTCCCCGCTCTGGCTCTGGTGAATTCTCTCACCCTCCCGCGCTTCTGACTGTACCCAGTGCTTGTATAATTAAATAAATGAATAAATAAATAAATAAATCTTTAAAAAAAATAAAAAATAAAAAAATAAAATCCAGATGACTCAAATAGAACCAGGCAAGCAGAAAAATTGGTTAGACATGTGACAATGCAGGATCTGGGTGCTACCCTACCACTCCAGTTCTAGACCTTAGAAAAAGTAGAGTCTGCTAGGAAACCATTCTAGGATTTAACTGCAGCTGCCAGTCTTCCATGAAATCAGAGGTTTGGGCTGTGGTGGTGATGCAGTCTTTCACCAAACCCCCAAATTCTCATGGCGGTAATGCACATCACCTAATGAAATCTGTAAGGTGTGAGTGAAAGTTTCTTTCAATGGCTGTGTATTTCACATTCTCCACAACCATGTTTGGTTTTGCTCCCAAGCACAATTTTTTAAAAAGATTTTTATTTATTTATGCATACAAGAGTTGCAGTGCAGGCCAAAGGTGCGGGGGGTGAGAGGATTCACCAGAGACAGAGTGGGGAGCAGAATAGGCAGATCTACTGAAATACACTGCTGAGGGGAGCAGTGGGATAGACAGGAGAGGTCTGCTGTGCCATGTGAGTTAGCTCCCCGGCTGGGGATCGAACTCATGCTGCAGTGGCTGTGGACAGCTTCATAACACCGAGACTTTAACCCCTGCACCACCAGGGAAGTCCACTTTTTTTTATAGTTACATTGAATTTTTGAACTTATTACACTATTTTTGTCCATTAGAAGGTAAGCTCTATAGGAAGGTGTTATTTGCTTCACCAACTGCTATATCCCGAGGTCTTGTACAGTGCTTGGCACATACTCAAATGTAGTTATCAATTAATTAGAGCACATGTGAAACCCTGGGCTATGAACTTCATTTTTCATGGGATCCCTGTTTTAAAGATGAGAAACCTAAAAATCAGAAGTTAAGAATTTATCCAAGGTCATACTCAAAAGACTGTACGATATTTTGAAGGGCAGTGCTCAGAAAATAGCAGGCACTGCTCACTGCTATGGAGAGCTTATTCAT